CGCCAGGGACACCGGAGTGGGGAGGGGGCCCCTCCCCCCGCCTTACTGCGCGCTCCGGGGGTCCTCGGACCTGCCTGCCTCTTGGGGTCCAGTTAGACCCGCTGAGCGACTTCCCTCCCCAAGAAGCTGCACCCTTGGCGCTGGGACCCGTGGCCCCTGCCGCTGCCCGGACGGACCCTGGATGCCCGGGAGCGTTCTGGCACCTCATCCCCGCCACCTTTTCCTCTTTCCCTTCCCCTTCCTCTCTCTCTCCCTCTCCCCCACCCTCATCTTTCTATTTCTTTGTCTCTTCCTTTCCTCTCCTTCTTTGCTTGTTTCTTCCTTTCCTTTCTTTCTCTTTCTCTCTTGTCCTTTAAAATCTCCCCCTCCTTGTAAAAACAACGCGAGCTCATTGCCGAAATCACAGAAAGGTAGGGAGAAGAAAATAAAACTAACCTGATGCAACCTCTGGGTGAGCACTTTCAAATTTGCCTCTTCCTGGCCCTCACACTTGTAAAGAGATTTTTTTTAAAAACAGAGCGGGATTAGCCTTTCGTAGCCTGACAGTAACTTTTGACTCCTGCTACCCCACTTTCCCTGTCAGTAAGCGGTACACGGGCCAGGTGTGCGGGCGCTCTGGCATAGGGAGGTTCCCATAGGGCAGCCGACACTGGTTTAAGTGAAATTGCTCAGTCAAGGCATGTGCACGACCTTAAAGATGTCTGCTTTGCCATAGTTTGCTCAACTACCTTCCAGAAAATCTGTTTTATTTGATTTTATTTTTTTATGTTTCCCCAGTGCTCTCTCTCTCTTATGTATCTATACATGAAAATGCGCAGATAATACATAAATCCATCCTCAATAATACATTTTAAAAACAGGAGAACATAGAGCAGAAAACACAAGCCTCACTTAGAGCAGGATTTTTCAAACTGCATAGAGCAGTGGGCCATGAAACCAGCTTCTCAGATGAGTCGAGAACTGAAACAGAACACATGCACTATAAATACCATGTACATTTCACCTAGGGTGACCACAGGTTTTGGAAACGTTTGTTTCAGGGTGTGTGTGTGTACAGGTGGCTGATGTGAAATGCATTTCTCCTGAGGGATCAAAAGGGCTTGGAAATGTTGGAAAGCCACCACCCTGAAGTTCCCATTCCTCCCTGGTCCTGGACAGCCCCGAAGTGTTTCCTTTCAGACTCTGCGTCACCTACTGACATCCTCAGACCTGGGCTCTGTAATCAAGATCACACTGCACAGCGATGATCGAAAGTAAGAGTTGTGCTCAGAAAGCAGGGAGCCCCCCCAGGTGGCTGCAAACCAGGAAGGTGAGAAGGAGGAGGAGGAGGAGGAGGAGGAGGAGGAGGA